TTTTACTGTTTTATTCATTCATCCCCAAAAGTCGTATTGCATTGATTGGCTGAGGGGTTTCTTTGTTTTTTGTTTTTGCCTTCTTTTCTCCCGTTCTTCCCCTCAGATCAAGCGGAGATGGCCAGGTGGTTGGCATTTTCCAACTGCTGAGTTCAGTAATGGTTCAGCAGTTCAGTAAGACAGCTTACCGCTATAGATTTACATAGTTCAGAGCCACTTCCCTATATAGTTACTGATAGCTGTCCTCAGTAGGAATGGCTTCCAGAAATTCTTTTGGCCACTAAGCTGATTCAGCTCACTTGCTGGCACCAAAGTGCAGGGCCAGAAGTCATTTGGTGATATGAGTGTGTCCCACAGAGCCCGGCACGGAAGCACATGTGGGCAGTGGAAGGGAAAGGAGGTTGAAACGTACAGAGTGAGAGCCTTGTCTATGGAAATAGCGGCCATATCACCTGCTATGTGGGAAAAGCCCCTCTACAAGGAGAAAATAAAGCTGATACACAGAGAGAGGCAGAGTACAGAGGTGAAAAGAATGTCCTAGTGGCATTCATGACCTGGGTCCGGTTATTCCCAAAGCCTGCCCATGTACCTGCTCTTCCCACGAGCAGGCATTCAGCCCTTCCTTGAAATCCAAGAGTCAACAAATCCTCCATTTTGTTTGAGCTACTTTGAGTTGACATTTTTGCAGCAAGAGCCCTGACGTGCAGGCTCCAAGCTGCTGCTAACACCACAGCCCCTGGGCCAATGCTGGAACTAGAAAGATGGACCTTCCCTCCAGGAGCCACAGCCCGCAAGGGACAGGGACATGCAAACAGATCATCACCATGTGTTGTCTCCACTTTCATAGTAGAGCGTCCCAAAGGATTCAAGAGCCAAGAGAAGGAGACCTCTGATTACCTGCAAAAACTGAGTAAAATCTCACCCAGGAGTGAGAATGTCCTGAATTTTAGGGATTGAGTAGTTCAAGTGGTGAACGCTGCTATGATGTCTGTGTTGGGTCATTATTTTCCTTCTTTTGGATGACTTCGGGGTAACTCTTGGCAATAGGATTCCTGAGCCGAAGAGCGTGGACAGATATTTATTATGCCTTTTGCTGAAGACCACTATGAAATGCCAAGTAAGTTGGGAGCAAAGCCACACGTCCGCTCTCTTCAACAGCCCTGTCTACAGTCAGAGCTTCATGCAGCTTTATTTCCTGCAGCATTCCATTCACTGTCCCCACCTCAGCGCTGAGGTCTTAAAACGCCACCAAGGGGCACCTGGGGGCCTCAGTCGGTTAGGCATCCGGCTTCGGCTCAGGTCATGATCTCATCGTTCGTGGGTTCGAGCCCCGCGTCGGGCTCTGTGCTGACAGCCAGCTCAGAGCCTGGAGCCAGTTTCAGATTCTGTGTCTCCCTCTCTCTCTCTGACCTTCCCCTGCTCACACTGTCTCTCTCTCAGGAATAAATAAAAACATTAAAAAAAATTAAAAAAAAAAACACCACCACCAATAGTCAAAGCTGTACCCAAAGGAAATGCTTCCTCCCAGCGTGGGCCTCTGGCCCAGGGGACATTATGTGGCCTGGAGTGGCGAATTGCTGGAAACAGGCAATCCATTCCCATCTCTCCTATCTCCAGGCTGTCCTTCCTGTTTTAGGAATCTCATCTCCCAAAGCCAAACTCACAAAGTCAAAAGACAAGTACAAGCCGTCCTTGTCTGGGAAATGCCTACTCTCTCTCCTCCGCACGGGGCTAGCTCCACAACCGAGATCCCTCAGCAAGCACTTATCTGCCACTGACTCTGCAGCCAGTGGACCGGAATTCCACCTACGGTGGTCTGGAGCTCCCCCTCAAGTGCTCGGCGCAGAGAGGGCTGGCTCGGCAGCAGGTGTGACCGAAAAGAGCCCCGGTTTTGCAATGGGACGGAATTGCTCTGTGACTTGCAAGTTGTTTGATCTCAAAGGACTCACTTCTCTCAGATTCGATTTCTTCATGTATAGATTGGAGCTAATAATATCTACCCTTTTGTTCATTTAACAAATACTCTAGGGGGTGACTAGGTGGCTCATCGGTTAAGCGTCCGACTTTGGCTCAGGTCATGATCTTGCTGTTCGGGGGTTCCAGCCCGCATAGGGCCCTGTGCTGACCGCTCAGAGCCTGGAGCCTGCTTTGGATTCTCTCTCTCTATCTCTCTGTCTCTCTCTCTCATTCTCTCTCTCTCTTGCCCCTTCCCCCCCAGAGATAAATATTTATTAAAAAGTAAAAAAAAAAAAAAAAAGTACTCCAAGTTCATGGAGAAACAGAACTATAATGGAAAGAGCAAGGACAGGGGACAGGAAGAGCCAGAGCTGAGTCCTGCTTTTGCAACAAACCATGTTTCATTAAATCTAAGCCACCATGCCAGCAGGACAAGACATTATTTTATGTATCCTTACCAAAAATCACTGCCAAGGGCGCCTGGGTGGCTCAGTCAGTTAAGCGTCCAACTCTTGATTCTGGCTCAGGTCGTGATCTCACAGTTGGTGAGTCGGAGCCCCACCTCAGGCTCTGCACTTGATAGCAAGGAGCCTGCTTGGGATTCTCTTTGGCCCCCTCCCTCTCTCTGCCCCTCCCCTGCTCAATGTCTCTCTCTCAAAATAAATAAACATTTAAAAGAAAAACAACTCTGCCAAATTATGACACAGTGTCTTGTATTTTATAGTTCAAGACCTCTTCCAGACTTACTGATACTTTGAATAGATGTTGATATTACTCTTCGTGTGTGTTTGTGTGTGTGTCTGTGTGTGTGTCTGTGTGTGTGTGTAAATGTATGCAAAATAAATTGGCTAAGCTTGTCAAAGCCATCAGGAGCATAACTGTTGTCAAAAAAAAAAAGTTAAGTTTATTTAACTTGCTGCCTAAAAGGAGAATGTGCCCTAGAGGAAACCCTCATGTGAGTCTCTTTAAATTGGGGCTTGTGTTCCATGGTTCTGTGGAGGAATTAGGGAGGTGGGGACCAGTTCTCGATTGAATGCTGCCAAAAAGCAAGAGCAATCTAGAGATTGGGTATCTGTACAACGTTCATCTAGGAAACAGGATGCAAGTAGGGCTAACGTTATCTGTGATAAGGAAGCAGCAGGACGGGGCGCCTGGGTGGCTCAGCTGGTTAAGTGTCTGACCTTGGCTCAGGACATGATCTCGAGGTTCACGAGTTCGAGCCCTGCGTTGGGTTCCATGCTGACAGCTCAAGGCTTGGCGCCTGCTTCTGATTCTGTGTCTCCTTAGCTCTCTACACTTCCCCGGCTTGTACTCTGTCTCTCTGTCTCTCAAAAATAAATAAAACATTAAAAATTTTTAAAAAGAAGAAGAAGAAGAAGCAGCAGCAGCAGCAGCAGAAGCAGCAGAAGCAGCAGCAGCAGCAGAAGAAGAAGAAGAAAGAAGGGGCAAGGCGCCTGGGTAGCTCAGTTGGTTGAGTGTCCAACTGTGGCTCAGGTCATGATCTCACAGTTCATGGGTTCGAGCCCTGCATCGGGCCCTGTGCTGACAGCTTAGAGCCTGGAACCGGCTTCAGATTCTATGTCTCCCTCTCTCTGCCCTTCCCCCAGCTCATGCTCTGTCTCTCTCTCTCTCAAAAATGAATAAACATTAAAAAAAAAAAAAAAGCAGCAGCAATCACTCAGGAGTCATCTCTGTGGTCACGAAGTGCCCTCACCTATGTCTCATTCTGAATATGACTTATTTCTGCTGGTAATATCACAGTCTGATTATCAGAGGGCAATCTTAAACTTTCTTGATCTTCTGAAAACTTCACAGTGAAGTCCATATAGAAAGTATTCCTGTTCCAAGGATGTTAAAGTGTAGGGAAAATGCCCTAGACTTGATGAACTAGGATTCTTGCTATATTACCTTGGGCAAGTAATTTAGCCCTTGAAGCCTCAACTTCCTGCTCTATAAAATGTGAACAATATATTGTACCACTTAAGACCTGTGAAGACAAAGTGCCTGGCATATTATTGGGTGTATCACTCAGGTCCAACGGTGAAAACGGGAACCGCTCTACCTAAAACAAAACAATGTAATGCAGGTGTTGGTGACACCTGTAGGGGAGGGGGGTGGAAGGACTGAGAATTCCAACAGGGGACAGGGAGGCGACCCAGAGATTAGCAAAAGCAAGAAGCTCCCCACAACTCCTAAACTGGAGGGACAAATGGAGGGGTATCTGGTCCCATACGGTGACATTTTAAGATGGATTTCCAGGGTCAGACATTTTCCCAGCTGAAATGCCACGAAAGCTCCCATAGCCCAGGGAGATGCCCATTCCATGTCACCCAAGCAGCCCCAGAGCAGGATTATGATGCCGCAGTGTCATGGCAACGGGACTCTGGTCTTGAGGCTCTCGAAGATTTGCGTGACCTTGGGGAGGCTCAAAAATCTCTAGACTCACATTTAAATCATGGAAACCAACGCCATCGGAGTGGTCTGCGTGTGCCCACACTCCACTTGGCTTTTCCATCTTTGCATCCCCTTGTCCAGAAGGTTCCACATGTTTTCCGAGAGAAAGGATGGGGTAGTCCAAGAAAACAGATAACGTGCCCCAAGGTCGCAGCGCTGACAAAAATCCGAAGGAATTCAGTCTCCCTGCCGCCCCCCCTCCCGCCCCCTTTCCTTCCCACGCCCAGGCCCCGCTCACTGCCCCGCCGATTCTTTTCCCGCCCGGGGCATCTTCTGGCGGAGGAAGGCTTGTGCAAGGAAAGGAAAGCGACCCTGAACAAAACGCTAGGGGCCCCGGTAGCGCCCGGATCGCGCACAAGCGTGCCCGACTGGCCGCTCCAGGGAGGGCGCCCCCCGCCCGCGGGGTCTGGGGGCCTCTCGCGCCCGCCCGCAGGCCCCGCCTCCGCGCCGGAGGCGGCCCGGAGCCCGCGGCCCTCCCCGCAGCCCTGCGGGTCCCCGGGAGGTTAGCGGAGCCGCGTGCCCGGGGCGGGGCCACGCGCGATTGGCCGCGCGGGGTCGGGGGCGGACCCGCGGCGGGCCGGCCCGGCGGGCGCCGACAATGAGCCTCCATAAAAGGGAGCGGCGGGGGCCTGGGGCCCCGGATTGAGCCCTCCCCGCCCGGGGTCCCGACGCGCTCCGTCTCGGCGAGGTCCGGACGCGCCCGTCGCAGGCCCGGCGGTGAGCGGCGGGCGGCGGGGAGGGGGCTGCGCGGAGCGGGAGGCGGCCTCTGGCTGCGCGCCCGGCCTCCGGCGTCCGGTCACCGCGATTCCCACCCCCTCCCGGCCGCACCATGGCCCTGAAGGCCGAGGGCGCCGCGCTCGACTGCTTCGAGGTGACGCTCAAATGCGAGGAAGGGGAGGACGAGGAGGAGGAGGCCATGGTGGTGGCCGTAATTCCGCGGCCCGAGCCGATGCTCAGAGGTGAGGATGGAAGGGGGACCCCACTTCCGCGTCCCGGGCCCGGGTCGGGCGCCCCCTCCCCCTCCCCAGTCAGGGGTTCCACCGCCCCCTCCCCCTCCGGCCTGGGACCCAGGCGCCCCCTCCCCCCCTCCGGCCTGGGGCCCGGGAGAGCTCTTGCTCCGCCCTCTCCAGGGTTTGGAATCTGGGGCCTCCCCGAATTCCCCCTCCCCCGCCCCCGTCCAGGGTCTGGAGCCTTCGATCCACACCCGGCGCGTTCCGGATCTTCCGGTGCCCGAGCGCCCCCTCGCCCGGGCCCAGCCCCGGCGGCTGCGGTCTCCCACCCCGCGGAGGGAGAGTCAGACGCGGGGGCCAGGCTGTGTTCTAGGCCGAGGGGCAGCGAGGCCTCCGGGCCCGAGGCTGGGCTCGGCAGCCTGGTGTCCGGAGAGATCCCGAGGATGCCGCTCCCCAAGGGGAGGATTTTCAGGGCCCTCCACGCAGAAAGCTTTCCTGGTCCCCCAATCCCCCCCTCCTTTGCATCCCAGGCCTTCCACTTGCGTAAGCCACAGGTGTCAGCTCCTAGCGCTTCGGGGGTGAATGAGATTGCGTAGAGCATACTCCGTTTAGGGAAAGACGTGCTTTTGAGGGGGGACCCTCGGCCACGCAGGAAGGAGACTGCCTCGGGAGGGGATTTGAGAAACACTCTCGGGACACTCGGTTTCCCCTCCCCCCTTTAGCAGTTTCTTTAGTTCGCAGGATCTTGCAAGCCATTAGAAAACAAAGGGCCATCTTCCTGGAAAACTTAATATTTGTGAAAATGCAAAAAATTTTTTTTTCATGAAAAATGTAAATAGCTTTTCATCCTCCGCTACCTCTTCCCGTAGCGGGGACTGTACCCAAAAGAGATTGAGAACAAGTTGGTTTAACCTGAGCGGAGCATGCTTGCGTTCTCCCTGCACTCCCTCTCCTTTTGAGAGGAATCTGGAGGGTTATAAAAAAAAGTCAGGGAAATAAAGGCCGCTACCCTTCTCAGAGCTTTGCATGGAAGTTCTTTCCTCACTTTTGCTAATATCTACTGAATGCTGGATGCCAGGCTGTGTCAGTTGTATTCAAAAACCATGCAGGAGGCACCCTGTTCCGGAAAGAGAAGTCTAGAGAAGTTATTTCATTCAACAGGTCTTTAGCAGGCACCTATTATAAGCCAGGCAGTTTTAGGCCAGGCATGCTAAAATGGCCGTAAAGAAAGATGAAACATTTTTTCTGGAACATATATATGAATCAGTGACCAAGGATGAACCGAAAGAAATGCATCGTGTGTCGGATGGTGATAGGTGGTTCAGAGAACCCTGGAGAAAAGGGAGTGGGGGCATTTTACTCAGATTATCGAGTGGTCAGGAAAGGCTTCTCTAATAAGGTGAATTTTGAGCGCAGGCCCAAAGGAAGAGAGGGGGTGGACCTTGTAGATAATTGGAGGGAAAGTATTTTAGGCAGAGAGAAGAGCAGGTGTAAATGTCCTAAAACAGGAGCTTTTTGAAAGAGTTGAGGTAAGAGGGAGAAGGGGTGGATTCGAGGTGTCGGCCTGAGCGGCTGAAGGATCGGGCCTCCCACAGACCGAGGCGGGAAGGCTAAGGCGTAGGCCTGTGGAGATACCGAGTTAAGGTTTGAACAGGGTGGGTTAGAGATGCCACACAAGTGGTGTGGTCAGAGAGGCATCAAACACGTGTGTTTAGCTTCCATGGGAGAGTCTGGCCTGAGGTAACAGCGGAATTGTGAGCAGGCAGGCGATGGGAAAGAGGAAGACGGAAGGGGTCCAAGAACTGACTGACTTGGGGAGCCCTCCCTCATCAAACATTTTTTTGTTAACGTTTGTTTATTTTGAGAGAGAGCGGGGGAGGGGCAGAGAGAGAGAGAGAGAGAGAGAATCCCAAGCAGGCTCAGCACTGTCAGCCCAGAGCCCAACTCTGGGCTCATTCCTGTGAACTGTGAGATCATGATCTGAACTGAAATCAAGAATCGATCACTTAACTGCCTGAGCCACCCAGGCGCCCCAGTCTCCTCAAACATTTCTGGAAGCCTCTACATGTCAAGCGTTGTTCTTGACGCCGGAGGTACCCGTGGGACCAACCGGAAGTCATGGCGTTCTGGAGCCTACAGTCCAGTAGGGAGACAGTGCACAAGTGGAACACACATTAGGCCAGGTTGGGGGGGCTGAGGGGGGAAACGAGGAGTGAAGGGGAGTGGGGTGCTCGGTGAGGCGGATGGCAGAGACCAGAGAAGGCCGTCGTGAGAAGATGGTCCCTCAGCGGCACGCTGAAGGAAGCAGGAGCCGAGCAAACGCCTGAGAACATGACAAGGAACCACCACAAGTGACTGAGAAAAGAGCCCCAGGGAAGTACAAGATGAACCCCCAGGAGCTGGTGCCCAGAAGCCCAGCGACAAAAATCAAGGCGGAAGGAGGGACGGGTCAGGTGGTGAAGTTGAAGAAGCAACTACTGGGTTGAGCTTTGGTGACCTTGACGAGGGCTGTATTGGAGGAATGGTGGGAAAGGGCCCGCTGGCAACCAGGAGGTCAGGGCTCGTGTTCACAGTCACTGGGGAGATAAGACCTGGATCTTCCGAGCCCTGGCCAGTCCTCGGACCCGTGTCGAATGCCACTGCTTGCACGCAGTCCCTAGGTGTGGGGGCCTCCCGTTGTGTTCCACCCCGTCTTCTCAGGGAAGAGAGAGGTGCGGCCAGCAGAGATCACGGGGATTCCGCAGAAGGCTAACATGGATCGAGCAGGAAAGGGTTGCTGCCTTCCTAGAGCTTGTGGTCCGTGTGCACGAAGAGCGGATGCAAGGCAGGTCAATGAGCTCGCGCCTGCAGACGCTCTGGAAAGGGGTTGTGATGGCATAGGATGGCCTTGTGAAGGGGCCTCACCAGGTACGGAAACAGACATGCCCGTCACTCACCCACTGAAGGCTCACCAACCCTCTCCTTCGTGCCAGGCCCTGTGGGCACAAGATGATGAAATTTACCGCTCTTGTCCTCCAGAAAGTAAGCACTGTGGCCTGGAAGTCAGGTGTGGCTACAACCAGCTGCCAGGGCTGGGAGGTCAGGAAGCCACCCCAGGAGTGGCTCCTTGAGCAGAGCTGCAAAGGTAGTAGAAGAATTTGTCGGACTGGTCAGGATGGCCTGGATGGGTGTGCCCAGGCCGAGGGCAGGCAGGCCCACAGCCTGTTGGAAAAACCTGTGGTCCGACACCAGATTGAGAGAAGGTCCGGAGTGAGACAGCAGAATGCCAAGGCACACAGCTTGTGATTCATGCGGTTAGTGAGTGCCTCGCGGTCTGCAGGAGAAGGGGGAGAGAGAGAGAGAGAGACACTGGGTGGGAACGTTCCTCCCCGCAACTCCCTCCCCCCGCTCCCCCAAGTTTGGGGAGTCATGTTGTAAGTATTCCAGCCGTGGGCACCCTTACTGATCACCCCCGCCGCCGCCTCTCCCCCTGCAGTGGCCCAGCAGGAGAAGACGCCACCACCTAGGTCCAGCCTGTTGGAGGCGGGCGGCGATGGCTGCGAGGAGCCCAGGCAGCAGGTGTCTTGGGAGCAGGAGTTCCTGGTGGGAAACAGCCCGGGAGGCAGCGGGCGAGCGCTGTGCATGGTGTGCGGGGCCGAGATCCGGGCCCCTTCCGCGGACACAGCACGCATGCACATTCTGGAGCAGCACCCTCACACCCTGGACCTGAGCCCCTCGGAGAAGAACAACATCCTGGAGGCTTGGAGTGAGGGGGTGGCCCTTTTGCAGGACGTCAGAGTGGAGCAGCCTTCTTCACCCACCTCAGGTACTTGGGACTGGGGGGGCCGGGGGTGGAGGACGGAGGGGCAAGACGAGCGCTTGGAGCTCACCGGGTGTTGGCCGCCTGCAGACCTGGGCCACGATGTCGAGGCCGACCCGGACTCCGACCCGGACCCTGCCAAAATGCCAGCAGAGATTGTCGTTCTCCTTGACTCCGAGGACAACCCGTCTCTCCCGAAAAGGAGCCGGCCCAGGGGACTCCGCCCCCTCGAGTTTCCTGGTCAGTCTTCGAAAGTCCTTGAGGCTGAGCTGGGGAGAGGGGAGCGTGCGCCCTGTGTTCTGTGTGGAGAGAGGCTCAGGAGCAGCCCCTTCCTTTCTTTCCTTTTTTTATTTTACTTTATTTTTTCTGTTTTTTGGTGGGGGGAGCGGTGGAGAGGAATGGAGGGAGAGGCGCAGCCCCTTTAAAAGGTATGGGGTCTTTTCATTCCGTAGCTGCTCCTGCCTCAGAGCCAGGAAATAAGAAGCCCCGTGGTCAGAGATGGAAGGAGCCTCCTGGGGAAGAGCCAGTCAGAAAGAAGAGAGGCAGACCCATGACCAAAAACTTGGACCTGGACCCAGGCCCTGACCCAGGTGACGGGGAGGCCTGATGCGGGCGCAGGTGTGGGCTCTGGCCACAGTGCTCCGAGAGGAAAGCCCAGCCAGTGAGGGGGAGGGGAGTGGGGTCGGGAGGTGGGGAGGGCGATCCAGGCCGTCGGATTCTGGCTTTCTCAGACCCACGGTTCCGTCCCGTGCTTCCTTCCAGACCCCCCGTCACCTGACTCGCCCGCTGAGACGTTTGCGGCTCCCGCCGAGGTCCGCCACTTCACGGACGGCAGCTTCCCCCCGGGCTTCGCCCTTCAGCTCTTCTCCCACACCCAGCTCAGGGCGGCGGACAACAAGGACTCACCCGGAGAGGGCAGAGCTGCTGACGGAGGCCTTCCCCCGCCGGAAAGCCCCTCTCCAGGTGAGCTCCTGAGAGGGGACCTGGGGGGGGGGGGGTCAGGCAGGCGCATCCCTGGGGCCTGGCCTCCTCAAGGCTGCTCTGCAGCAGAGGCTGGGGTAGAGGTGGTTAGCACTCTGCCGTCCTGAGAGGCGGGGCCGGAGGCAGGCAGAGTTGAGTGACAAGTGACCGGCTGGCTCCTTGGGGAGTGTCGTGGAATTGGTCACTGGGTCGGGCTAGGCCAGCGCTCCCAGAGCCTGGCACCCACGACCACGCTTGAGTCTGATTCCACCTGGAACACCCGAGCTGCCCACCTCGCCCTGGTGGCGCAAGGGCCCGAGCGGGGCCTGGAACGGGAGACGGGAGCCGTGGTGAGCACAGGCTTTTACAAGACCACAGTTTACTGTGTCTTAGTCCCAGAGGTCAGAGGCCTGGAAGGGGCCTCCCTGAGCTAAAAGCTGGGTGTCGGCAGGGTCCTGTTCCTTTCTGGAGGCTCCTGGCAGGTGGGGAGGGGGAGTCTATTTTCTCGTCCTGCCCAGCTTCTCCAAAGCCGTGGGCATTCCTTGGCTCGTGCTCTCCTCTGTCTTCAAAGCCAGCGGCGGCCAGTAGAGTCCTTCTCCGGATGCCATCTTTGGTCTGTCTCTTCTGCCTCCTTCTCCCCCATGGGGACCCTTGTGATTACATTGAGCCCACCCAGATCATCCAGGACAGTCCCTTTATTTTGAAGTCCACCGATTAGCAACATTTATTCCACTTACAGCCTTACTTCTCCCTTGCCCCGTAACATACCGTTTTCTCCGGTCCCGGGGATTAGGGTGACCAGTACTCTGCCTGCCGCGGTCACGTAGCCAAGCAGTGGCAGAATCCACATTAGACTGGAACGCATTCTGGAAGGGCAGAGGTTGAGCCCGCTCCCTACTCACCTCTCCACGCCAGACATCGTGGGCTCAGGAAGTGGTTCTTGCAGGAGCGAGTGAGTGGCGCGTGCACAACGCCTGGTGCTGGCCTGTCGGAAGTTCGGAGTTAGCGCTGAGGGGAAGCTAGCACATGACGTGCCGGGGGCTCCCCAGAGCAGGGCTCTCAGAAAGGAGCTGTCCTTTTTGCATAAAGAAAACTGCCCGCGTGTCCCTTCCGCGCCACCTCGCTCCCCAGCGGTGACCGCCGTTACTCGGTTTGTGTCCTCGAGACCTTTTACGGAGCTCGGGGTGCGTCCGTGTGTCCGTGCACCTGCGCCCTTTTGCCTGGTGATGTTTTACCAAAGTGGGTTCTGCTTTTTCTAATCTTGAGGCAGACCTCACCCCTTCACGTAGATCACGGTTGTAACTGTCTCAAGTTTCAGCTTGAGCCACATTCCAGTCCTGCCTCCCCGAGACTGTGTGCTCTGCTTGGACTTGAGCGTTGCCCGAGCTTCCTCCTTCTCTTCGGTGGATCACTGCTCTAAGTGGCTGACCGCTTCCACTGTTTAACGGGTCTTCTGGTTTCATTCTCGAAAGGGAGCCTTCATTTTGAGTCCTGGGGTACCCTGTGCCCACATTCCACCCATCTGGAGTGGTGAGTAGCTGAGAAGGGAGTCCCTGAGGTCTCAGGTTCTTTTGGGGTGCGTGGGCAGAGTCTCCGAGGCCTTGGGGGTTCCGTAATCTTGTGAGAGGGCTTTTCTCGGCAGCGGCAGGATCTAGGGAGGTTGGAGGGGGGCCCAGAACCTGCAGCAGACGCTATGCAGCCCTGAGGGATGCACTCTGGAAAAATGACACGAGCGAGGCAGCCTCTGTCCCCAAGAAACTTCCTGGTTTTGGTGTACAGGTTGGATGGAGGCAGTACCACAGCGGGTAAAGGACAGTGGGGTACCCGCCACAGTTCTGTGCAGAGCAGAGGCTCTAGAGCAGTGGTCTGACTGTTTCTGGATCCCAAAGCTCGGACAGGTTTCTCAGAAACCTGCGAGGCATCCACCAGAATGTCTTCACTTTGGGTTGCTTTTACATGTTGAAGTTCTCGGGAGATTCTGAGCAAAGATTCTTCCACTTTAAAAGAGTTATTAGAAAGTCAAGGACTCTGAAAATGGAAAAGGTCACTGCAGTGAGGTCAGCTGAGCTGATGGATGTAACTCTGAAGCCAGGGAAGACCTTCTAGAACTTTCCAGGGGCCTTGCAGGATGAGAGTGGGGACGTGTGCAAGCCAAGAGAGAGAAGGTGAACCTTAAAGACCCCACTCACAAATTGTGAGAAAAAGAGCCTCTTTGTCTTGCTAGTGGTGAATTTGAGTAAGACCTCGAGACCTGGCTTTTAGGATTCCTTGGCCAGGCCCGGGACGTTTACAGGGTGGGCCAAGGAAAGATTGTGTGTGCGTGTGCACGTGTGCGAGCTTCACGAGGGTTAGGGTCCTTGTTCACTGCTGTATCCTCTGCACCCAGTCACATGCCTGGTGTAAAAGAAAGCCCTCAGTGAAGATTTATTAGAGGAAGAATGGGTGGCAGCTGCCTTTACGTGTCATCGGGCAGTGACATTTTCAGTCGCTGCTAGAAACAAGCCTTAATGAGAACCGAGAGCAAAGAACTCAGGCCCACCCTCTGGAGAAGGTGTGTGCAGGTGTGCACGCGTGCACAAATGTGGGAGAAGAAGGGGGGAACGAGACTGGAGAAGCAGCGAGGTTTGGGCTTCCCAGGACAGAAGGGGATCAGTTCTGGGCGTGGAGTGCAAAACGGGGTCGGCTTGGCCCTGGGGACTGATAAACCCTCCTGGCCTGCTCTTTCTTGGCCCTGGGACCCCTGACCATACATGATTTCTGGCAGGACATCACACCTCAGGCCTCACTCTCCTGATGCTCCCCTCTCCACCCGCCCTCACCTCTGCCCTCCATGCTACCACAAAGAATCCGTACTTCATTCCATTGCTTTGAGAAGCCCATAGGTTAGTGAGCTCTTAGTCTATGCTGGACTCGTTAGCACTGTAGCGTGTTCTCTCTTTAAATCCCCAGTCACCACATACAGTATTATGATTTCCGTTTTGGAGAAGAGGAAACAGCCGGGGGGACGTAAGGCACCTCTCAGGGCCTCTCACCCAGTAAGCAGCGGCCTCTGTGCGTTGCCACCTGTGCCCGTCCCCTCCAGCATCCCAGCTGCAGCCTCCGCCTTCTCTCTGCTGCTGGGACGAGACGGCTCCTGGCAAAGCCTAGGCCTCTGGACCCACTGCTTGCGCCCACCCCCCGCCCTGCTGGCTGCGCTCTCCTCTGTCCACCGTCAGTTTGTCCCTCTCCTCCAGATACTACCCAGCAGCCTACACCAAACTGATTTTTCCCTTCTTGACCTCGCAGCCCTCCCTAGCCACTGCACCGTGTGTCCCCAAACCTTTTCGGCAAAGCTGGGGAGCATTTTCTACACTATCTTGCCCTCGTCTATCTGGGAGCCATTTCCGTCCGATTCCCCTCCTCCCATCTCCTGCTGAAATGGCTTTTCTGACCAGGTCACCGTTGACTCGTCTAAGGTAAAACTCCAGCCGTCAGTCCTCTGTCCTTACCTTAACCTTTTCTGATTTAGCAGTAATGGTGACCCTGCCCCTGACTCCTTCCCAGAGCCGCCTTCTGCCCTTGGGGTCTTCTTCCAGCCTCACCCGCTGTTCTCTTTCTACTGTCTGTTCTATACACGGCTCCCTGAGTCGGAGCTGATGCTTATCTTTCCTACCCTTTCTTGAATGTAAGCTGCTTCAGGTTCGGATGTGTTTGTGTCTGTTCCGTTTCCCGTGATCTCCCCGTTTTCCAGCACAGGATCCAGGTGTTGTTAAGGTGTTTGGCAAGTGAGTGGATAAGCGAGGGACTGGATACCTGAGCCATGGGGCAGGGCCTTACTCCCAGAGCAATCTGGTCCCAAGTTCTTGTGTTCACAGCTCCCACCCAGATCTGCCCCCCTCCACCCCCCGGGTTCCAGCCTCTCTTCTAGATGCCTGGGTGACATGTCTGTGGTTGTCTAGAAGATCTGTCAAACTGGCACATCAGAACTGAAGCCCCGTCTCCACTCCCTGCCCCCAGCCTTCTCTCCCCTTTCTCCATTCTGCACTTTCTCAGGCTAAGAAAGTTCTCCCTTTCATCCCCTTTCGCTTCCCAGGCTCCACATCAAGCAGTCGGCAAATCCCGTTAGCCCCACCTCCAAAATCTGTTCAGAGTTCACCTTCCTGTCTCCCCACTGCAGCTACCTGGGTCCAGGCCATCTCCCTGGCCTCGCAGCATCTGGCCTTAGCCCGCTGAGGTCTGATCTCTTACAAGTAGCCAGGGTCCCTGATGAAAATCAAGTCGGGTGCTGTCACTGCCATTCTGGGGCACTCCAGATAAAAAGCCAGAGTTCTCGTGGCGACCGTGATGCTCGCCCCGACAAGCGTCCTTCTTCCCCTGCCCTGCGCACTCTGTGCCGCCACTGGTCCGCCATTCTACAGCAGCAGATGTACACCACCAGGGCGTCGGCGTTCGCTCTTCCTCCTGCCTGGGATGCTGTTCCCCAGCTGCCCACACGGCCGATTGCTCGCTCTCTGTGCATCTTTGCTAACACACCCGCTGTATAAGGACCTCCCGGCTCTCCTGTCCCCTTCTCTGGTATATATAGCATTTTGCTTTGTTTCGGTCTGTACACAGCACGCTGCATCTTGTATTGGTTTATCCTACTTACCGGCCCCCACCACTGGAACAGCACTTCTGGGAAGGCCACGTGTCTGCTATGTGCACGGTCCGAGCCCTGACAGCGGGGACGGTGCTGGGCGCAGCGTGGTGCCTGACAACCTGTTGTTGAAGTCGGGGACAAATGAACGGGCTCGAGCTTGCTCTCAAGGAGCATCTAGTTCATCAGAGATGCGGGGCAGCTTCTGCAAACGCGGAGCAGAATTGCTCAGTTGCGGAACAACACTGGCAGCTGTTAAGCAGTTTAGAGCCTCCGCAAACTGTACGGCAAAACTGTGCCTGTTTTCTCGGCCGCATTTTAAATGCGGTCTCTAAAAACAGCCTAGGAACAACAGCACCGCCAAACTGATCCGTCTCAACAGACGTTGCAACCGTCCGCGTATTCTGTTTTGCTTTTCAGTGTAAAGTAACTTTTGCACACGGGCCGCATGAGAGCTCTGGGGAGCCCGTCATTTCCCACTGTGAGGGCCCGGTGTTGCTTCTTAGGAGGCTGCCGCCCCACCGCTCAGGTGGACGCCTGGTCCCCATGTGGTGGGTGCCGTCTCTCAGCAGGTGATGAGCCTGGTGAAGGTTGCAAAGCAGGGCTGGGGATGCCACGCCCGGCCCGTCCATCCAGTGCGCTCCCCTTGCCCTGCGTTTCCGTTCACGAGCCCTTTGGTGGGCAGAGCTGTGCCTTACTCTGTGTGCGGGCGTGCCCACGCGGGGCAGCAGCCCTGAGGCTCGGGCGCCCTCTAAGTTTCAGATGAAGTGGTCCACCGAAGGTAAGAGCTGAGGGTGGGAGGCCCACAGCACGGAGCCTCTGTTACGCGAGGGAGGAAGCGTGCGGGCCGTGTCCGGTTCCGCAGGAGCCGTGACCTTGGTCTCCCGTTGCCCATGCTCCCTGGATGAACCAAGAGTGGAGCGCCCCTCTGCCCGTGGGCTCTCCCCTCATACCAGGCCCTGGGCTGGGGAAATGAGGGTCCTGAAGTGGAGGTGCGGTTTGCAGAGGCCTCCAGGGGGCGTCCTCGTGGGGGGGTCTGGAGGGCCCTGACTTGTGTGTGCTCTCTGCTTCCCATCCCTGCCCAGCTCCCCCTCCGGGGCTTCGCGGGACACTGGATCTCCAGGTTATCCGTGTGCGGATGGAGGAGCCCCCGGCAGTCAGCCTCCTGCAGGACTGGCCCAAGCATCCCCAGGGCACCAAGGGTGTGGGAGCAGGTGACACCCCGAACTGGCCTGCAGTTCTGTCGGAATCCAGCACCGCTGTTGGGGGGCAGCCAGAGGCAGGGGGCGGTGTATAGGTTCTTGCTTTCCTGGGGGAGGGGAGGGTGGAGGCAGGGTCCCCCTTTGGCTTATCACTCAGAGCTGCCCGGCTCGGCTGCCTGATGGAGAGAGTAAAACCGGGTGCCAAGGCAGGATGGAGGAGAGGAAGGGGGGGTGGCATCCGCTGTCTGTTGGGGGCGCTGGAAGCTGGCTACTCCTGGCAAGGCTCGGGGCCAGGCCCCGAGACGGGCAGTCGTGCGGTAGGGCATTGGGCCTGTGGAGAACACCTACCCTGATCCTTTTGCTGCCCCAGACCTCTCTGTCCCCACTCCGTCCCCCCTCTCAGCCCCCACCATTCTCCCTTGGCACAGTGCCTTACACAAGAGGTGGTCATGATGGGGTTTGAACTGAGTCCCACTACCTCGGGGGACGCCTCTCCTCCCCCACCCGTTCAGGCTCCTAAACCAGGAGGCCTCCATTACCTCTTCCCGCTCCATCCCTGCAGGAGGCCTAAGCAGCCCACCTGGGGGCTTTTGTTCACTCCCTCCTTTCACCTGTTTTCCTGTTGTATATATTCTCCTTTGTTGACAATAAATTATTTTTTTTTATTAAGAAAGTTCCGTCTGGGCTGTCATTGGGGTAAGGGGGACATCCAGCCTCCCTGGGAGACCTTGAGGGGCAGGAGGGCTGGAAGAGGGTTCTGGGTGGGAGGCCAGAGCAGGGCCAGGCCAGGGCTTTGGTGGCTGGAGGACTGGGCCTGACTTGGTGCTGGTCAGAGGGACACCTCCCCCCTCCCCCCTCCCCCTGCCCTTGAGATGGGGTCAGAAACACCTTTAATATTTTGTGCCCCTCTGACTCACTTGGTAAGCCTCTAAGGGGACCGGGGGTGGGGGGGCATTGCTCAGGACGTTTTGGCCTTAGGAGGTGAGACTAACTTGACCTTTCTAATGTTTTGGGGGTTTTTTGTGTTTGTTTTTTTAATTATTTCTGAGAGAGAGAGACAGCGTGAACAGGGGAGGGTCAGAGAGAGAGGGAGACACAGAATCTGAAACAGGCTCTAGGCTCTGAGCCAGCTGTCAGCACAGAGCCCAGCATGGGGCTTGAACCCACGAACCGCAGGATCATGACCTGAGCCGAAGTCGGACGCTTAACCGACTGAGCCACCCAGGTGCCCCTCTCCTTGGCCTTAATTAAACTCCCTCCTCTGCCTGGCTCCCCCATTCCTTGGACCAAGAGACCATCCGTTTGGGGTTTCTTCACCAGATTCCTTATTCTCCTAAACCAGCATCATAGGCCAAATCCTCGTGGGGTGCTTTTCTCCCCTTGGGTGACATGGGCTCTGAAGAGGAGCTTGGGGGACTCCGTCTTAGACCCCAAGCCCCACTGTCGAATTTAAAATCCAGAGGCAAGGGGAGGGATGGGGGCAGTCCACCCTCCGCACCGAGGCTACTTTTCTGCTCCTGATAAATACTGTGCATCCAGGGAGAGGCAGGGCCTCGGTAGCACCCCAGAGGCCTGTTCCCCTATAACACTGACCCAGCCAGCTTTTGAGACCGACCAGGGAGGACTTGGGTGTGTGCTGCCTGCTCCTCAGAGCTGGTGTCCCCACCGTGCATGGGCCAGGCCCGAGCCATCTCACAGCCTGGTTGCTTCTGGGGATGTGGCCCTTTCTTTGACAAGCGTGGGAGAGGAGTGCCCGGTTGGGAGGGATTAGAAGGCACGGGTGTGGCACGTTGTGGAGAAAAGGCAGCGGGTAGAGGTTCAGAACACCTTGTGTCCTGGGTGGCTTCACCCGTGCGTGAGGTCAGGTGGGCCACAGAACCCCCCACCACTACCACCGTGTCTCCACCATTTTTGCAAATTGGGTAAAACTGCTGCCTTACCTAACAGGCGGCAAGAAGTAGTGCTGAAAATCGGGCTTTGAAACACGAATGTGAATTATCGCGGGTGATTTCTTTCCATTTTTCCAATCTTCTGACTGTGTTTACAGGTCTGCCAGTGTGCTTTTAAATCCACGCGGCTGTGTTGCTGGGTGTTTACAATCTAGAAAAGCAATAAAAGCTCACTGTAAGATCCTGAAGTAAAGTGCACCTTCGCTGCCGTCGATGTGACTGATGGGCGGCCCACTAGACTGTGAGCTCCTTCCGGGCAGGGGCTAGGTTGCATTGACTTTGTTTTCTCCGGGCCCTGCTTAGGGGCCCAGCACATCGTAGGTGCTCAATAAATGTTTGTCAAGTGCCCTCTTGCTGTGTCTTCCTATGCAACATTTTCCCAGCGCAAGCTGGTCCCTGGAGTACTGCTCCCCACACAGGGTGGCAGCCATGGTGACTGTGGGTGGCATGGTGGTCCTGTGACTTCGTCCCCACGTCTTGGTTGGCAGGGGTCTGCCCAGCCTTGGCCAAGACCCGAGGGACCATATGAGTGTCTGTGGCTAGGAGCACACTGTGGGCATCTCTGGGGTTCCAGGGAAAGGGGGAGGGAAGAGCTGAGGGCACAAAGTTTCTGAACATCGGTGACCCAGTACTTGGGGTGTGTCCCCAACCCACAGACCAGAACTGCCATCCCAGGGCTGCTGCAGACTTTTGCCTAGAACACCAAGGAAGACTCCCACGCTGTCAGCCGGGGGCCGGTGGTGGCAACTTTCTCCAGGGGTGATGCTGAGGCCCAATCACGACATCGAGTGAAGGGGGTGGGGAGACCTGTGCCTCTGGTCCCCTTTGCTCTCTGATACCAGCCACCACCTGCTGCTCCCAACTGCCCTCCTTGGGGTCCAGGTAGGGGAGACCTTTCTGGATACAAGTAATAACCGTAGAGTCAAAGCTGGTCCAAGACAAAGGAAGAAGCAGCCCCTTCCCTCCTCAAAGAGAAACTGGCATACAGCATGCACATGCGTAAGGCTGTGGTTGGGAAGAGACCCCCGCGCCCCCCTCCGCTCCCCGTGTGGGTCCATCGCTGGTTGGGTCCAGGCTCCGCAGCTCCTGCAGTCTGACCTCCTCTTCCTGTGTAAGATCTGCTTACCCCGCCCCAGCCGGGGAGCTGTGAGACTGTAAAGTCCTCACCCCCTCCAAGTGTGGAAGAATGGGGAGCTGGGGCTGTTGGGAGGCAGGCGCCAGCTGACCTCCCCGAGGCAGCACAGGCAGGGACAGGTAAGGGGGCTCCACGGCCTCAGCGTGTCTGTTTTCCAAACCTCCTGGAACCAGGCGCCTTGGTCCAGGGTCTTCACACCGAAACTGGCTAGTCCCTCTCCCTCCCCCCCGCCCAGAGGGAACAGCCTCATTGCACCACAGAGCACCCCAGCCTCTGGAGGAGGAAGCAGTTTAGGACTTCTGGTTCCCCCAACAGCTCTCCTCAGGTCTGCTCAGACCCCACAACTGGGTGACCTGAGGAAGCAAGTAGCAGCAAGGAGGCAGGGGGTTGGGGCGACAAAGGTGAATGAAGTTCCCCCCCCCCCCCGCTCCCGCCGGGACAGGCTCTGTGCTGGGAACCACAGAGTGCAGACAGGACCACCCGCCTCATCTCCATCGTGGGGCACCCCGCACTGTGCCCATTCCGCAGGAGAGGGACAGGCACGGCAAGGTGAACGAGGTGGCCAGCCTGCTCTTCCAGGGCTGGTGACTTGAGCAGAGCTGGGCTGAGCCTGGAGCTGTCTGACCACAGCGCTCTGGTCTGCGCCGTGGCCAGTTTCTGCCTCAGGAGCGACCGATGCCTCTTCCCTTGAGGGCCTGGGGACCTGCGGTAGGTAGGTTCGGGGTGTGAGGTGGGGTGGGGTCGGGTGAGAGTAAGGAAGGTCGTTCACAATGAAAAGCGCTCGGCACCTCCTGCGCTCTGGCCCTCAGACAGTGGTGCCCAGTGTGCTCGCCATGCCAGTTTCCAGAGTCCCCCTCGCCCTGGCACCCGCTGGGACCCTAGCTTGCACCTGGCAGTGACACATGAAGGGGCTCACAGGAGATGCGGGAGGGTGCTGGCTCCCTTGTGCCGGCTGACAAGGTCTGGAAACCAAGCTGAGGGCTTCAAGGGTGGAGGGAGTCCTGCCCCTCACCTGTTCCTCTTCCGGAAAATGCCTCCTGGCCCCCTGAGTGGGGGCCCTGGCTTCACTCAGCGACCTCTGACGCTGAATCAGGCTGGGCTTGGTATTCAGTGGCTAACAAAAGCAGAGACTGGTACAACAATGTCCACGTGAACTTGGGCCGCTCCGGGGGGCAGTGCGCGGGGGGGGGGGGGGGGCTTCTCCATCCCAGAACCTGCCCTATCCCCTTCCCTCCTCCTCCCTGACCTGGAGCGAATCCTCTTGGGGCCACCACGGCACCCCCAGCTTGCTGGGTGAGCAGTTTGCCTCTGAGACACCTACCCACAGCCTTCTGATGTCACAGCTGGGGGTCGAGACAATTGCACATGGACAGTGGTTCAAAGCTGAGGTTCAAGAAGCCAGCAGACCTGGCCCAGACTGCGAGCTGGGTGAGGTGCTTGCACTGTTCTGGGTCCCGGGAACCCAGAGCCATTCTGGGCGAGACAGACAGCAAGACAAAGAGGTTCCCAGTATGCCTTGCCAGGATGGCACGGTTTTTTCTTTTTTGTCTTCTTTATTTCTTTTCTGATCATAGACGTTTTCAAACACACCCAAAAGAAAAAAGAGAAAATCAGGGGGCGCCTGGGTGGTTCAGTCAGTTAAGCATCCGACTTCACAGCTCAGGTCGCGATCTCCTGGTTCGTGAGTTCCAGCCCCACGTCGGGCTCTGTGCTGACAGCTGGGAGCCTGGAGCCTGCTTCGGATTCTGTGTCTCCCTCTCTCTGCCCCTCCCCCACTTGCAGTCTGTCTT